AGGGCCCAAAGAGGCAGCCAGGGGCCAGATCATATATGAATTTCTATGGTATTCTGAGGGGTCCTGGTATGATATTGCAGCATATGCACTGGACTGCTAATCACAAATCAGGGGTTCAAATCCACAAGTTGCTCCTCTGAGATTCTATACAGGGTTGCTATGAATCAGAACTGACTCGACAGCACTTAACAAGAACAGCAGTAGGCTATTCTATGTACGACTGCTTGTAATTATTTATTTTAAACTTGACTTCTAAACTGCAAGTTCCCTGAGAGCCCAGTCCTGTGCAATCCTTAACAGCATCTATGATACTAGCTACACATGTCAAAAGTCTACTGGAAGAGATCTCACTACCTCTCCATATATCAATATGAGGGTGGCAATGGTGGTTATGTGCCGTGGAGTCGGTTCCAACTCATAGCAACTCTGCATAGGGTTTCCGAGGCTGTAAGTCTTTCTTTACTGGAGCAGAAATCCTCATCTTTCTCCCACAAAATGGCTGGTAGTTTCAATCTGCTGACCTTGAGGTTAGTAACCTGACTAATAAGCACTACACTACCAGAGCTCCTTACACTACCAGGTAGCTCTGACCAAATAAGATAAATACTCACCTAATAAGACAGAAATCAGTCCCTTGTCTGCAGAGAATATATATAATATATACACTATAAGTACAGTGATACAGATGGGAAAAAAACCCAACTTAAAACACTAAGGATACCATTTGACTCAAAGTTCCCCACCCCTTTCCTGTAGCACTTCCTTTATATGGAACCAAGTGAAACAAGCCAGTTCCCCAACTGGTATGCAAAACTGGGTGTAGAATAGGTATTAGCTGCTGGTGGAGTATCTCTATAATTCTGTGTTGTTTCCAAACTTTTAAAACAATTTTAATATTTTGGCAAATTGGCTAAAAGGTATTTTCCTTCCAGGCAGGTTGTATTTTCCTTTATTTCATGAGCTCTCAGATTTATTTAGAATGATGAAGCTATAGCAACAGGACAAAAGAAAAGTAGGTGCTTTGGGTTTATTAAAAAGGTAGTATTGTAGTATACGCACAAGATAGTCCGCAAAGTTTACAAAGTTTAGAAGGAAGAAAACTATACCTCTAAACGTTAAACTAAGAACATCCCAAGAAAACTTCTTTAAATCAAACAAAAGTTTAGCTTAACTATTAAAGAATGTCTGCCTTGAGCATTTTATGCTCTTTTGTTGGTACGTGTCATCGAGTCGCTTCTGACTCACAGGGTTACCAAGAAGTGGCTGGAGGGTTTGAACCCTTGACCTTGAGGTTCGTAGTACAGTGCTAATCCTACAGCACCACACCAGGACTCCATGCTCTTATGAGATCTATCGATATGAGAACAAACTAACAACAATTCCAAATTTTAGATAGGAACCTTAGGAAGCAGTGAATTTACGTTATTGCAAGAGGAACTCAGAGAAGGAGGATGAGTAAGGGTATACACCCGAAGAATGTAATCAATGTCACTGAACAGTACGTGTTAAAAACTGTTGCACTAGTGTATGTTATGCTGTGTATAATCTCAACAACAAAATTGTTTTAAAAAAAACACAGTATACCTCAAGGAGTTTCCAGCTTAAAAAAAAAAAAAAAGGTAGTCTGACAAAACAGAGATCAATATAAAACAAAATACTAAGAGAGAACCCTGTTTAGCTAATTCAGCAACTGTCTTAGGGAAACGCTGTTAAGTAGGTAAGAACAGTTGTACAGATGGAAGGAGGAACTGGCTCTTTTTTAATAAGACGACTTTTCCAAGTATGCCAAGGGATGTGGGAAAATGAAAGATGGTTTAGCGTAAGATTCATTTGATTAGAGCAGAAGACACAGACAAAAAAAGTACTGGGACTCTTGTAGTTTAAAGGGACCTTAAGAGACTAGCCAAAGCGTCTTAATTTCAAAATGAGAAAAAGGCCAAGCAAATTTTACACAGAGCAAATGGTGTGGTGCTGTAGGGTAAAAACTAGACTGCTAACACCAACATCGGTGGCTGAAAACCACCAGCTGCTCCTTGGAAACCCTATACAGTGTTGCTATGAGTTGGAACCGACTCTATGGCACTGAACAACAACAATGCCAGCTCCTGGTGTGGTGATGCAGGCTAATGTGCTGGACTACAAAATCGATTTGAACCTCAAGGTCAGCAGTGCAAGCTCACTAGCTACTCTACAGAAACCCTATGCAGTCATAACCGACTCCATGGCACTTAATAACAACAATAATGGCCAAGAATTCAGGTTGGTTCTTCTTCATTAAGCAACCTGGGAAAGCACTATATCAGGTACCCTTAAAGAATCCAAAAGAAATATAAATTTTCTTATCTCCAAAGAGCTCATATGTTGCTGAGACAGTATGACACATTTTAAAAATTTACAAAACGGGATTAAACAAAATTTTTTTAAGTGCCAAATGATGTGCTACAAAAATACAATTGGTATCTGTTGTTGTTAAGTGCTATCGCATCAGTTCTGACTCAGAGCAACCCTGTATAGATAGGGTTTCCAAGGAGCAACTATTGGGTTTGAACTGCCAACCTTGTGGTTTCAACAACTAAAAGGGAAACCAAAAATCAAAAAGGAAAAGAACCAGTAAGCAAAACAGTGATTGTTGAAGTGGTACTTGAAAGGAAAAATAATCTTTGATTTGTGTTCAGAATGGTATGAACTGTGTGGGGGAAAACTGAGGAGGAATTAATCAAGTATTAATTTCTTTTAAAATTCTAAAAATAGATTGCTTTTTATAGTCACAAAAAATGAAACAAACAGATCAAAAAGTTCATGGATAATGGAAAAATTCAGGAATAGCTAATAGTGACAGCTGAACAAAATAAGATGAGCATATTTAATGTTACTGAAATGTACAAGTGAAATGGAAAGTATTTTGGCACTGTGGGCTACTGTTGTTGTTCTGCAAAGTTGGTTTGAACTGCAAGGTTGGAAGTTCAAGATCACCCACCAGCCATACCTTGGAAACCCTATACAGGGTCACTATGGGTTGGAACTGACTTGATGGCACTTTTAACAACAACAACAACATATTTACAGTACCACAAAAACAAAAGTTCAAGAGGAAGAAAGTTCACATTTGCAAGTCTCTTCAAGTTACAAATAGATCAGTTACAATGTATAACTAACAAAAAGTTGACTAAATTCCAAGTATAAGAAATTTACCAGACAGATTTGGCTTGCTGATTTTTTACCAACACATCACTGACAGCTGAGTTTACAGAAACAAAACCACAACATAAAGGAATGGTTTTCAAAGGATTATGAGCGTTAAGATTATCTTTTTGTTTTTTGGAGGGCGTTCTGGCTTGGTTGTAAAACTCAAGTTAACAATCAATTTGTTCTAAAACCCATAAAGCTACAATGTTTCCAAGATAAGATCAACTATATACTCATATCACCAACGAAAAGCCTACTGCTAACAGGATCAAGTATATTTAAAAGATCTCATTCACCATCTAACTGCTCAGATGTTTTACTAGCTAGGCTGCTTCCAGTTCCAACAAGTACTTAATCCAAACCTTCTTCAAACCAGTAACAGTATCTTAAAGTCAATGACATTGTTCATCATAATACCACCTACCAGTATTATAACACAGAACCCTGATATAATTATAGGTAATGCTCCAAAATTACCATTTGAACAACTACTAAGTAAAATATCTTGTCAGATTTTTAAATGCTTTTGAAAGCTTTAGTTTTATATGAAAAAGCTGGTAATGTTTTGCACTCTCTATAATCTTAAAAAAGACAACTACAGACTAGGAGTCAGAAATAGCTTTACACAAACAAGAGCAAAATTGTAGGTTTTTCAGAGGGCATTTGCCATTTAATTTAACCCCACTTGATCAGGAGCAGAAAGCTACACCGCCGTTTCATCAGAATTACTAGGAAACAAGTAAGCTCAAAGGCTAGAAAGGAAGAGAAGTCTGTAGTTGAAATGAGTATTTTAATGATGCTACTGAGAATTCCCAAAGTGACAAAAAAAAAGAACATCTAGAGCTGTCTCAAGATGAGTCTATAGCTGAGTACGTGGTTAAAATGGAGACAAACACATTGGCGCTTGGGGTTGGGTTCCCTCCCCGCTTTCCTAGCCTTCACCCCCACCCCACCCCACCCTACCCTACCTAAACAGGAAAGAAAGCACGCCCAAGCATAAACACAGGCCAGAGCTCTAGAGTTTGTCACCACAACAAACTGGAGGTTAGACCAGCGCTCCTGGAGACCGGGCCCCAAGTCTTGGTTGCTAGGCAAAAAAAGGCCTCTTCCCCACCCAACTGTGAGCAGTGTGGGCTTTACTCAAGGAGTTAGGGTGTACCTCCACTTTTTTTTTTCCTTTCTTTCTTTAATGAAAGCTTTGGAAGTGGTGACCAGGGAACAAAAGTTTCCCTTTGAGCCAAACCTCTGGATCTGCCTTATACAGATGCACATTAAGTGGGCTGGTCCCACGTCGTCTCCACCACCATCACTACAAATTACAAAGTTAACGATTACAAAACAGTAGCGGAGAGGATCGGAAAGCTTCCACACCCACCCACCACCACCACCCCTTCCAAACACCGTTTCCAGGTTCCACACAGCACCGATAACTCAGAGCGCCGTGACACGCAACGCTATGAAATACACAAGCACAAGCCCCACAGTGGGAACCTGCCACGACAGCCAGGAAAAAAACCAGCCGGGCCAGGAGACGCGAGGCGGCCCCCTGTCATTCGAGGACAACAACACACCCAGGAGAGAAGTGGCAGGAGCAAGGGGGAGTTGCCCGGAAAACAAGCTCGAGCTTCCCCACTTTCTTAGGAACAGCAGGGCCGCAGGTCGCGGCGCCCAGTCCGGGGTCCCGGGTCCAACCCGGGAGGGGTCCCCCGCAGGTCGAGCGCCCACCGAGAGAGACCCCGCAGTCGGCCCAGCCCTGCTTCGGGGAGCGGATGGGAGATCGCTCCCGATAGAGGCCCTCGCCCGCCCCGACTCACCGCCGGTGTGTCTGGTTCTCAGCCACGAGCTGGGGCTGCCGTGAGGAGGCGGCGGAGGAGACGAGATCCGGGGCCCCGCCGCCGGGTCATCATACCCCCCGCGCGAGCCAGCCCGGGCCCCGGCCTCCGTCCCTCGGAGCCACCCCCGCGCTCGTCCCGCGGGGGAAGCCTCCTCAGCCTCCCTCCCACTCCGCCACCCCGGCCCCTTCCCGCCGCCACCGCCGCCGCCTCGGCCCCGCGCGCTCCCGCGTCGGCCTCCCGCTGTCGTCCGGGGCCACCGCCGGGCCCCTAGCTCCGCAGCCGCCGTTGTCGCCAGACCCGACGAGCTGAGAGCCGAGCCACCGCCCCCATCCGGTCGGCCCCGCCTCGCCAAAACCATTCACCCGCGCGCGCCATGACACCTACCGAGGCGGAAGTGCAGAGGAGCTGGCCTACTAGGATGCCCGCATAGTTTTGATGGCAATGACAGTGGGTGGGCCTCCGTGGGGAGCCAGTGTGGATCGAGTGGGAGGGCCGGATTCCCCGCCCCCGCCGCACGACTGGCTTTGCGATGATTTAAAAGTGCTTGGTGGCGGTAGGTGGTCTTGCGGTAAAATGTCATCACAGCCAGTGTGATATCATCACAACCTAGTGTGACACCCCCCACAGATTGGGAAGCACCGGGGAAAGCAGCGCCTACCTGGGAAGCCCCACTGTTGGTGAGGAATTACCTCAATTTAGGCCTTGATGCTGCTTTGCAATGAATAGATCCTTTAACCGTCTGATATCCGTGTACAGGATCTGTAAGCCTCCACGTTAACACTTGGTGAACTCTCCCATGGCCGCCTTGGGGCTATATTTGCATTGTTGAACTTGCTGTTAAGCGCTGTCAAGTCAGTTTCGACTCTTAGGGTTTCCGAGGAGCAGCTGGAGGGTGAACTGCCGACCTTGTGGTCTGCAAGTCCAGACCTGATCCTACAGAATCACACCAGGAGTCCATATTTGCATTGGTGGTTATGTGCCATGGAGTCAGTTCCGACTCATAGCGACCCTGCAACAAATCCTCATCTCCAGTCTAGTCTACATAACTAAGGCCAAGGAGCTCATTGGGTCTAGAAGAAAGGACTTCTTTATACTCAAAAAATACCAAATCCTGCATCTTACTTAGAGAAACATGTTTAGAAGTGGGGCTACATCATTCTTTTCTACCAAAGCTACTAAATCTTTCACAAAGTCACACTATGGTGATGGTGGCAGTGGTATTGTGCTGTGGAGTCGGTTCGACCCTGAATAGGGCTTCGAAGGATATAAATCTTTATGGGAGCAGAAACACTCATCTCTCTCCTGCAGAATGGCTGGTAGTTTCAAACTGATGACCTTGAGGTTAGCAGCCCGACTGGTAACCACTACGCGCTACCAGAACACTTTATATTTGCATAGTTGTTGTTCTTGTTAAGTACAGTCAAGTCGGTTCCGACCCATAGCGATCCTGAATAGTGTTTCCAAGGTACAGATGGTGAGCTTGAACTGCCGACCTTGGGTTCAAACGACCTTGCAGTCCAGTGCATTAACCCACCAACGCCACACCAGGACTACTCCATATATACACTGTTGTTGTTAAGTGCAGTCATCTCGGTTCTGATCCATAGCGATTCTGTTTCTAAGGAGCAGCTGGTGAGTTTGAACTGCCGACCTGTGGTTCAACCTGACTTTGCAGTCCAGTGCGTTAACCCGCAGCACCACACCAGAATGCCATATTTGTATTAGTAGATAAGAACTAAAATAAAAACCCAAATCTGAATCTAATCCCTCAAAACAAGCACTGAGGAAATGCTGACCAAATTGCATTGCCTCTGTAGTTAGTGTCACTGAGTCAGTTCCAACTCATAGTGATCCTGTGTAGCAACCCTGGGTAGCGTCGAACCACAGATCTGTGGCTCACAGTCCAGTGCTTACCATATGGAGCCACCGAGCTAGCTCCCATATTGACTTGTTGTTAAGTGCCGTCGATTCAGTTACCATTCATAGCAACCCTGTATAGGGTTTCTGAGGAGCAGCTGGTGAGTTTGAACCTCCGACCTTGTGGTTCAAACCAACCCTGAGGTCTAGTGCTTTATCCCACAGTGTCACACATAAGATAATAAGGCTGGGTATTAAGGAAACTGAATACACAAACTTCTGAGAAAATGGACACTTCATGAAAACCGGGTAACAGTTATGATCTCCCAGAACCAAGAAATTCTGTATGACTTCAGATATACCTCCTGCTGTGTAAAATGTTCTGATGCCAAAAGTGGAGGGCATTTTTTTGGGAGACTGGGTAATGAATTCAGTTTGTATTCCACTATTATTATATTTCCACCACTTGTCTGTCAGTTTGTTGTACTGTGGTGGCTTGTGTGTTGCTGTGATGCTGGAAGCTATGCCACCAGTATTTTAAATTACAGCAGGGTCACCCATGGTGGACAGGTTTCAGTGGAGTTTCCAGACTAAGACAGACTACTTCTGACTATTTAGCCACTGAAACCCTTATGAACAGCACGGGAATATTGGCAAATACAGTACCAAAACATCAGCCTCTCCAGTTGGAAGGTTCTCATAAATGACTGGGTAGGATCTGCCTCCTCAAAGTCGAGTTAACCTTGTTGATGTTGTTAAGTGCTATTGAGTCGGTTCCAAATCCTAGCCAACCCTGTATAGGGTTTTCAAGGAGATGCTGGTGAGTTTGAACTGCCAATCTTTTGGTTCAAACTGGCCTCGTGGTCCAGTGCTTATCCTACAACGCCACACTAGGACTCCATAGTTAACCTTAATGACGTAAAAAGGTTTTCTGGACCTTCATTTGCTGAAGAGCACAACTCAAAATGAGAAGAAACAGCTGCAACATCCATTAGTAATTGGAACATGGAACGTACGAAGTATGAATCTAGGAAAATTTAAAGGTGTCAAAAATGAAATGGAATGCATAAAGACCAATATCCTAGACATTAGTGAGCAGAAATTGACTGGTATTGGCCATTTTAAATCTGGCAGTTTTATAGTTTACTATGCGGGAGGTGGGGGGGACAAATTCAAGAGGAATGGCGACACATCATCATCAAAAAGAATATCTGTAGCGCTATGGAATGAAGCACTGGATTGCAAGGTCAGTTTGAACCACAAAGTCAGCAGTTGAAACTCTCCAGCCACTCCTTGCTTGGAAAGGTATAGCCACCGATACAGGGTGGCAATGAGTCAGAACCCACTCGACGGTACTTAACAACAACAACCAACTTCTTCAGTTAGAAATTGATCAAATATGCACGCAAGATGCATTGCTAATTACTGGTGGTTGGAATGCAAAAGTTGTAAACAAAGAAGAATCACTGTTGAAAAATATGGTCTTGGTGATAGAAATGATGCTGGAGATCACATGACAGAATTTTGCAAGACCAATGACTTATTCATAGCAAATACCTTTTTAAGCAACATGAAAGGCAACTAACTACACACAAGGACAAGGAGCTCTGGAAGTGTAGCGATTACAAGTCAGGCTGCTAACCTCAGGGTCAACAGTTTGAAATTACCAGCTTGTTTCACAGGAGAAAGGTGAGGCTTTCCACTCCCATAAAGATTTATAACCTCGGAAACTCTATACCGGGTCGCTATGAGTCTGAACCGACTCCACGGCACATAACCACCACCACCACCATACACATGGACCTCACTAAATGAAATGCGCATGAATCAAATTGACTATATCTGTGGAAAAAGAGGGTAGAGAAGCTGAATATCATCAGCCAAGGCCAGGTGCCAACTGTGTTCATATGTTGAAGAAAATTATAGCAAGTTTACAAGAGTCAAAATATGACCTTGAACATATCCCACCTGAATTTAGAGACCATCTCAAGAACAGATTTGATGCACTAGACACTAATGACAAAAGATCAGAAGAGTTGTGGGATGATATAAATAATACACAGGAAGAAAGCAAGAGGTCATTAAAAAGATAGGAAAGAAAGAAACAGCCAAAATGGATGTCAGAAGAGACTCTGAAATTTGCTATCTAGCACAGAGATGCTAAAACAAATGGAAGAAATGAGGAAGTAAAAGCATTCAACAGAAAATTTCAAAGGGCAGCTTGAGAAGACAAAGTCAAGTATTATAATGAAATATGCAAAGACCTGGAGTTAGAAAAGCAAAAGGGAAGAACATGCTCAGCATTTCTCAAGCTGAAAGAACTGAAGAAAAAATTCCAGCCTCAGCTTGCAATATTGAAGGATTTCATGTGCAAAATACTGAATGATGGGGAAAGCATCAAAAGAAGATGGAAGGAATAAATAGAGTCACTGTTCCAAAAAGAAATGGTTAATGTTCAACAATTTCAAGAGGTAGCATATGATCAAGAAATGATGTTACTGAAGGGAGAAATCCAAGCTTCACTGAAAGCATTGGCAAAAAAAGCAAGGCTCTGGGAATTGATGGAATACAAATTGAAATCATTCAACAAACTGATGCAGCACTGGAGGCTCATCTCTGATAAAAAATTTGGAGGCCAGCTACCTGGACAATCAATTGGAAGAGATCCATATTTGTGCCTATTGCAAAGAGAGGTGACCCAACAGAATGCAGAAATCATTGAACCATGTTATGAATATCACATGCAAGTAAATTTTGCTGAAGACCATTCAAAAACAACAGCAACAGTACATTGACAAGTCAGAATTCAAGTCGAATTTAGAAAAGGACATGGAACCAAGGATATAATTGCTGACGTCAGCTGGATCTTGGTTGAAAGCAGAGAATACCAAAGAACACAAGAAGGAAAGATGTTTACTTGTACTTTATTGACTTTGCAAAGTCTTTTGACTGCATGGATCATGATAAACTATGGAAAACATTACAAAGAACGGGTATTCCAAAACACTTCATTGTGTTTATGAGGAACCTGTACAGTCATTCAAACAGAACAAGGGGACACTGAATGCTTTAAAATCTGGAAAGGTGTGTGCCAGCATTGTATTCTTTCACCATTCCTTTTCAATCTTTATACTGATCAAATCATCTGAGAAGCTGGATTACATGAAGAAGGACTTGGCATCAGGATTGGAGGAAGATTCATTAACAACCTGAGATATGCAGATGATACAACCTTGCTT